GCCTTGCTCATTTCACCCGTAGAGGGCTCATTATTTAAGTCATCTTTATTGCCATAAGTGCTGCTAGATTATGGAGAAAACACTGCAAATTCTTGAGGAAACTTTATATCCCAATGTTCAAGATTGAACCTCGCGTACGGCGGTTCAAAAAACATCCAGAATACCGCTTGAAAAAAAAACAAGTTTACATTATCTTCTTTTGAACATCACATCCAAGTATCGTTTTGGCTTTTAGAACTCTTTTATGCTTTCAACTTTCAACAAAGTTCATACTTTTGTTTCAAAAAAGAGTTCCATATAAAACACAACGTTCGTTCGTATTTTGAAGTCACACGAGTTTTAGTTTACATATATACGAAGACCGTAACCCCCGGAAATAAAACCCTAGGGAGCCACCCAAGAGAAATAAAGATTATTCACAGTTTCTCACAGGCATGAATTGAAAATTAATATCAGAAGTTAATCTCAAAATTATCAAAGGCACGCACATGGCTGTACATTAATACAATGATGCTCGTATAAAATTGACTAAAAAATTATATAAATATAGAGAATTACACTTGCTCTTGAGGTATTAATGAAAAATCACACTTATTATTATACATATTTCGCCAACACACTTTCGATTTTTCATTAATATTTCTCAAAATATTATACGAAATTTAAACGTTTTTGGCTGTCAAAATTACAGTTGCTGACATACATGCAGCTATTTCAATTAAAGTTGTCCCCGAGCAAAACGGAAAAATAGGTACGCTAGGCGTACATGTATCTGCGCAAAGGAATTCCATGGTTACTATGAAAAAATTTAAATTTCGAAGTGACTATAGAGCCAGCAGCCAGCTATTTAGTAAACTGCCGGCTATATAGTGACTAAGAAAAAAAAGATTAGTCAAAGAAAATACAACCCGACCCAGACTGCGTTTCACTTTTCGCACACAGTGCCAATACCATATACTATAACGGCAAGCTCAGTGAAAGCTAGCGCAAACAAAAGTTTTTATATTTAACTATAGTCACTATATAGCCAGCAGTGTACTAAATACCTGGCTGCCAGCAGTATAGTCACTTTATTTATATTTGATAATATGACAAAGAATGTTCAGATTGCAGTCTCTTCTCAACTGGTTAGAGTGCTAAAACAACACCGAAAAGGGTGCTATTATGACACTAAAAATGGAGTTATTTTAACACCTTTGCAGGTGCTAATTTGACACCCTACAAAGTGGTGTTAAAATAGCACCCCAAAAGGTGTTATTTTGTACCTTTTTATTTGACACCATTTTTGGTGTTATTTTAACACCTTCAAATTAACAGTGCAATCAACTGTCAGAAAGCCAGAATTGATGTTTATCAGTAAAAAACAGAATAAGAGTTATATAATATGAAATGGGTACAAAATTGCTGAGGTATAATACTGTACCATTGGCGGACACTAGGGGGAGTCTGAGCCAACCACCTCCTCCCCCCCACTATAATTTTGATGGACTGTAAAAATCTGATGCTAAATAAAACAATTAAATGACACTCATATAATAATACCATTAATTAATACATTTTTTTTTACAAAATGTGTTCTCAGAATGCTGCAAATGCCATTTTGGGGTGTTCAAATGTTAAACATTTTCCGGCGGGCATACCCACGAGCCACCCCCCCAATATTTCATAAAGTGTCCGCCACTGTACTGCACCCACATTTATTGTAAGCTAAATGAAAAAATATATATACAATCTGTAAAGAAATTTTATTAACTTTAACTCAGCTTATGAAGCAATCCTATAATCCTAAGATGTCCTGTGAATATTAATGCACCATGTAACAAAATTCTAGCGAAACATAATTCTGAATGCGGTGAATATATATAATATGTACCGTATATAAACACAATTTTGACATCCCATACAGTATATATTAATTATGAATAGACAATCGATATTATTAAAAAAAGCATGCATGATTACTCACGAAAAAGCTTTACGATGTTACTTCGGGCAATGATAAGCTTATTCATGTTCCGTTACCATCATTTACAAAACTTGCCACATTCATTTACGGATTTTTTAAAGCCAATAACCAAATTCGCCAATAGTAATACAGTACCCAAAACTCGTAAAAACTTCATATATGCATTGCCATCGAACTAATTATACTAAGCACTGACTCTCATTGAAAGGAGTGGATGTTCAGAATAATCTTGATGTTAACTTGACAAAAATAACATCACTACCAATCTTTAAAATAAACAAAATCGAAAATACACTTTATGAACAATAGACAATAGTCAATACAATCTAGTGAACTTATATATTTTTGAACAAAGAAGTCGAATTCATCTTCATGTAATTAACAGATTATATATATGCCTTTATAGCTCTCCAACATTTCTACTTATGTATTTTATTCTTACTAGTGAAAGCAATATTAATGTTAATACCTTCATATTCTTGTAAATACTTCTAGCACTGTCATTGCTTGACACAATATAAAACTTTGCACTGGACATTAAACTAGGGACTTACCTTAAATTAAAAGCCTATAAAGATTTCTTTAGACTCCTAGCCCTATTTATAGTGGTAGCTTTAATACTTTTATGTAAATAATTACCATAATGATTGGGCGAAATAAATCTTCTAGGATAAAAACAATCGTCACTCCGTAGAAAGCCGCCATCTTTGTTTTACGGCCTGTTCGCAGGCATAGCCCTAATTAGTCGACCTGAGTGTTTAACGCACCCATCCACACACACACAAACTCGATAGCATAGTATCTAGCGCTCCGCGCAGATACAAAAATCGAATACGAGCGCGAAAGGCTTGCTGGGAATCGCTAAAACATTATTAATTTTTTAGCAATTCCCAGCAAGCCTTTTGCGCTCGTATTCGACTTTTCCGCTTTGCTCGGGGACAACCTTAATTGAAATAGCTGTATACAGTCTTCTTCACCAATGCTTAATATACTAGAAAATCCCAGTTGGCAGCTTGTATAAAAAAATGCCATCCGAGTGTGAATTTCTGAAGTTGACAGTCGTCCATGACTATTAGTATAAGTCGCGATTATAAAGAGTTACATGCAATGTTAATGTAACATTCTTAATTATGTCCATTAATTATACGATCTGGCTTTAATAGGCCTACCCGTTAAAACGTTTGTCTCTGTCAGTTAAAACTGTCTAGACATAAAGTTAAAAAATTCATCAAAATTCATTCATTCGTTTTAACGTTTTCGTTCAAATACGAGACAGAGGACTTTTAGAGTTTCAAAGTCCCAGTGCGTTTTGAAATTCCAGTAAAATCCGAACTCTTGTATTTGACCTGACATCTCAAATGTTGTAATTTACATAGTTTCAAAGTACTAGTACTTTAAACTGTCCTGCAGGATGTCTTCCTCCCTGATTAAAGATTAATTTCTTTTGTTTTTGGTTCGTGAATTTTAATGAGTTAAGAATAAACAGTTTCACTACATTTTTAACGGGTTTTGTTTGTTTATGACATTGACAGGTAGTGATTCTCACAACGGCGGTAGCAGCAACAACAACAACAACAACAACAACAACAGCAACAACAACAGCAAGAACAACAACGATGGCCTCGGTAAGTTTTGATATGACGTCATCCTAGAGTTGTAACCATGCAATGTACCACTTTGGTAAACATTAAACAACCTATTGTTTTATAGAGAACCTTTCATAAACAAGTGTGAATGTCTGACACGAGGATTTTCAAACAATACAAACGACACAGCTTACAAACAAGCAATTTTTATATTCTTCTCAAATTTTGGAAAAAATAATAACCTATAACATAAAGACCTAGTTTGTTGCGAGGTTATTAGTCAAACTAACTACTGACTACTAACATGACAAATCTGTGTCCGATTTACCGAGAGTATATATAAAATCAAGAAACATATTGAAATAATCTTAAAATATATTTTTGAACTTTATGACAAACTTTATGTATTTTGTATCTTATATAAGCACGATAACACCTTGAAATAAAATAGTGGGCTAAAGTAAACCATTATTATTATTATTATTATTATTTATTTTGCACAATAAAAAGTTTACATAATTAAAGTGCTATAATAACAATGTGAAAGGCTAGCGACCTTAATGAAACCCTTTTAGGCTTTTTGGTAAGAGGTCCCTAGTTTTACAATGTTCATAAGAATAATTTTTAAGAGTCGAATAGAATATTTACAACACTATAACTAGATTGATGACAATCAAATATATTCCAAAAAGAATATCTTTGATTTTATTTTATTTTAAAAGTAAAGTAAGACCTAATATTGCTAATCTTTTCATCAAGGGAATTCCATATTTCAATTCCCTTGTTAATAACTGTCGTGTATTTAGATTATACTTTTAACAAAAATATGAATAATACATAAGCATGGCCGATCTACATATCTAATGCGCATGTCCGTGCGTATGACCGCTGTCCGTCTATATCTATATATCTAACACCATCTCTCCTCTTAAGGAATGTATCATAAAATATTGTTCATGAGTTCACTATCGTGTTCGAACAATTATGCTAACCATAACAGTAAGTAATAAAGCAGTTCTCTATGTACAATCCTGGACAAAACCATCTGCGACACTCTATTAAAACATTGCTTTGTGGCTTTTTTACTAGTTAGACCGGAATAATTTACTCGTTTGCCCCCCTTCACCCCCCAAAACAATGTTGGACGTTTTATCCGTATTCTACGAATGCAATCAACATTGAATGGTGGGGGGAAAGGGGGAGGTTTTCTAAATTTACGATAATATTACGACAATTTGTCAAGTAATTGGAAGTGTCGCAGATGTTTTGTCCAGGATTGTAGTTTTCTTAAACAGTTTTCGGATCAAACAGTTAAGACCCCACCTCTCGGGTGGTTGGTGTGATCTAGTTGGGTAGCGTTGTTCAGATCCTGTTGTAGCCCTACCGGCTTCTTGTTGTTGCACTACTGGTGGATTCGTGGCTAGTTCGATATCCGGCTCTGCGACAATTTATTCTGCTGGTGCAATATTCTGGCCAGTCTCTCCGAGCTCTGGATGAGGTTCAGCCGTATCATCACTCTGGTCATTTACTTTCACACTCGAGGCTCGAAGCTGGTCGATGTGACGTCGCCAAATTCGATTTGGACTAACTTTTATCTCGTACGAAAGGGGTCCCGTTTGAGCTCGAACTATGCCTGGTAGCCACTTGTCTTTCCGACTGTAGTTACGTGCCATGACAGTCTGACCGATGGATAACTGACGTGTGGGGGAATGTCCTTTCCTCCCCGCTTGATCGATTTGCCTGTTCATCACTTTCCTTGGTAAATCAGGTTTCACCAAATCGAGGCGAGTCCGTAGCGGTCTGCCCAAAAACAACACGGACGGTGATTCTCCAGTCGTCGAATGCGGGGTATTCCGGTAAGCCAAAAGGAACTTTGTTTCTCGCATTTCATAGCATGTTTGAAACTCTGAACAAAACGTTCCGCTTGACCGTTGGTTGCAGGGTGGAATGGGGCCGTGGTAATATGCTTGATACCATTAGTCTTCCAAAATAGTTGGAACTCTGCGGATGTAAATTGTGGACCATTGTCGGTCACCACCTGTGCTGGCACTCCATATCGGGCAAAAATAGTTCGGAGTCGGTCAATGGTCTGCGTCGATGTGGTGGATGGCATTATTTCCACTTCAGGCCACTTCGAGTGTGCATCTACAATGATAAGGAACATTCGTCCTAGGAACGGCCCAGCAAAATCTAAATGGATTCTCTGCCAAGGTGTGGTTGGCCATTCCCAAGGGTGTAGTGGTACTTTGCCGGCTTCATTCTGTTGAAGTTGACAACCAGGGCAGCTCTTGGCTAGGTGCTCAATGTCCTTATCAATTTTGGACCAACAGATGTAACTTCGCGCCAGAGACTTCATTTTAACAATACCGAGGTGACCTTCGTGAAGCTCGGTTAACACTTTATTACGTAACTTTGCAGGAATGACTGCTCTGTGTCCAAGCATTAGGACACCACATTGAACTGTCAGTTCGTATTTCCGCTGGTAAAACGGTTTAATCGCTTCATCTTGTGGGGTGGACCATCCTTTCATAACCAACTCATGGACCTTCACCAATAGAGGATCTCTCTGTGTTTCTCGTTTGACCTGTTCTACTGTGACTGGCAAAGGCTCAAACTGCGTGGCATAGAAGAGGTCCACTGGATCTGGCTCTTCTTCTGTTGTCTCACTATGCAAGGGTAATCGAGACAAACCATCCACATTCCCGTGTAACTTAGTGTTCTTGTATCTAATTGTATAGTCAAAACCCGCCAAGAACAAAGCGTAGCGTTGTAATCTAGCAGCAGTGACAACAGGAAGGCTTTTGCTGTGATGAAAGATTGAAATGAGAGGCTCATGATCAGTCAGTAAGGTAAAGTTCCTACCGAAAAGGTAATTGTGGAATTTCTTGACTCCCCACACTGTAGCCAGTGCTTCTTTATCTATCTGTGCGTAGTTGCGGTTCGCCTGCGACAGGGATCTCGATGCAAACGCCATCGGGCGCTCTGTGCCGTCTGTCATGACATGGGACAGTACCGCTCCAATTCCTACAGGTAAAGCATCACAAGCCAGTTGTAAGGGAAGGTTAGGATCATAATGTGTAAGCACCAGATCTGAAACAATCATTGCTTTAACTTTGCAAGAGGATTCTTCGCATTGATCTGTCCAATTCCATTGGTAGTTACTTTCCAGCATTTGGTTCAATGGATGCAGGATTGTAGCAAGGTTTGGCAGGAATTTGTGGTAATAATTCACCAATCCCAGGAAGGAGCGTACCTCTGCAACACTCTGGGGGCGAGGGGCATTCACCATTGCAGCTGTCTTGTCGGTGGTCTTGTGCAGGCCTTCACTATTAATGTCGTGGCCACAGAACGTGATCTTTTCTTTGAAGAACTCACACTTCGATTTATTGACTCTTAACCCATGGTGGTGCAGCCGTCGAAGGACCTCCTCCAGGTTAGCCATATGCTCTGCGTCACTTTTACCCGTCACAATCATATCATCTAGGATACAACTAATACCAGAAGTTCCTTCCAGAATCTGATCCATGGTACGCTGCCAAATGGCGGGAGCTGAGGTAATACCAGACACCAATCGATTGTATTGAAACAAGCCCATGGACGTATTAATTGTAAGGTACTTCTTGGATTCTTCATCCAGCTCAATCTGATGGTAAGCTTGGCGGAGGTCGATCTTGGAAAACTTTTTCCCACCAGCTAAATGGGCAAAGATATCTTCGATTCCAGGCAGAGGATACTGTTCTGCTTGTAGTGTTGGGTTAATAGTACCTTTGAAGTCACCACAAATACGGACTGAACCATCTTGTTTCGGCACTGGTACAATCGGTGTCGCCCAATCACTCCACTCTACTTTCGACAAAATCCACTCTACCTTCGACAAAATCACTCCACTCTATTTTCAGCAATATACGCTCTGAAGTCTCTTCAGTTCTTCCTCCACTTTCGGTCGTAAGGAATGTGGGACCTGACGAGCTTTGCGAAACTGTGGTTGACTACCTTCTTTGAGGGTTATCCTTGCTTTGGCAGATTTGAAAGTTCCCAGCTTGTCTTCAAAAACCTCTGCATACGTATCCAATAGGTTTTTCAGCTGCTCCTGTGTAGTCGTGCCAGGGTTTCTATGGCTGGAATCTGAGGATTTCAACAACTTAATGGTTTTCCAGTCGAGGCGAAGCTTGTGAAGCCAATCTCGACCCATTAACACTGGACCCTTACTCTGGACTACATGGAATGGCAATTGACATGACTGATCTAAGTATTCAACTTGCATGGTAAGGCAACCAACTGGAACGATCAGTTCACCAGTATAGGTCTTTAGTACGGTGGTTGTTTTCTCTAATTTCTTGTCGCGAAATCTTTCCAAGAACATGTCATATGGCAAAATGGACACGGCCGATCCTGTGTCTAGTTCCATGGATAGTGGTTGATTTTCAACTTTCACGTCAACCCATATGACATCACTGTTTGATTTGTTTACATTATGAACTTCTAGGTTACTCAACAAGTGTTTATACTCATCCGGTTCGGTCTCTATGGCATTGGTCGATTCTGGTATCTTGATCTGGGCGAGGGTCTACCGGGCCCCTGGCTTTGTTATGGCCGGCAAGCTCTTTGAATATGACCTCTCTTTCCACAAATGTGACAGACTTCTTTCTTAAATCTACACTCAGTTGCAACGTGGGTATTAGCTCCACATCGATAACACACTACAGTGGAAGATGAGCCACTATCTGATCTATTCGAGGGTCTGTTCAGTGTCAGTTTGTCAAGACCCAAGAGGTTTTTCTTCTCTACCCTTGCTGTGGATCTCTGTAGCATCTCGAGTGGCTGTTTCCATAGCAACTGCTATGTCAACAGCTTTGGAGAATTTTAATTTTGACTCTGCAAGGAGACGTTTCTGAATTTGCTGATTACTTAATCCACACACCAATCTGTCGCGCAAGGTTTCTTCCAAGTTACTTCCAAAATTGCAATGTGTGGTTAATTTCTTTAACTCAGCTATATAACTTAAAATGCTCTCCCCTTCTTGCTGATTTCTCTTATAAAAACGAAACCGTTCGGCTATTTCTAGTGGTTTAGAATTTAAATGCTTCTGTAATGTACTTACTATTTCATCAAAGTTCTTGTCTGCAGGCTTTTCTGGCAAAAGTAAATCCTTTAATAATGAATACGTTTTGCTTCCAATCAAACTCAGCAGAGTTGGCACTTGATGATTGTCGTCGACATCGTTTGCAGCGAAAAAAATGTTGTACTCGTTCGACATACGTCTCCCAGCTTTCTTGGGTTTCATCAAAAACATCAATTTTTTCAATCGTCGTCATTTCTGCACTTATAATAATCCCAAATTCGTCGCCACTGTCGTGTATTTAGATTATACTTTTAACAAAATATGAATAATACATAAGCATGGCCGATCTACATATCTAATGCGCATGTCCGTGCGTATGACCGCTGTCCGTCTATATCTATATATATCTAACAGCTTGTAAATATTTTGTGGGCAAATTAATAAATATATATTAATAATACATTAATATATTAATAAATTATTTAATCAACTTACCTTCGAGAATGGATACTGGCATTTTTGTGCATAGCACAAGCAAAATCACTAATTGAATTTAAATCGATTTATAAGACTCCTATATAGGCTATAGTATACTGTACAGTCTTCAACTTGTAGAGGATGCTCCGGTTTATACCTTTAATATATACAACCAGTCATAATGCGTCTTTTTATCCATCTTAATCAAAAAGTCTATATTGTTGTGTAAAAACTAATTTTTTTCGGGATTTCATTCCAGTATACCTAATACAAGGTGTTCAAGTTATCTGATATATACCTTAAAATTAAAATATAAAGATTAAAATTTATATAACCTAACCTGAATATTTAATTAAAATACGCAGATATATAGTACGAATATACATTTGGGGAAAGATATGCAAGTGTCTTGTTAAGGTTTAGTCTATAGTTCAGTGCATTACAGTTATCAATCAATCAATCAATCAATCAATCAATCAATCAATCAATCAATCAATCAATCAATCAATCAATCATATATTTATTTCCCATGTGTATGTACAATAATAAGTAAAAAAGAATTATGTGTAGTTTGAAGGTGTTGGGCTAGAGACCTACTGGAAACCTTTTCAGGTTTTTTAATGTAGGCCACTAGTTAGGTTTGTAAGAAAAGAAATGCATATATATTTACAGTGTTAAGAGTAATTATTGAAGTAAGACCTAAAAGTATATGCTATTTACAAAAGATGGATATTATATCATAATATACAGTTACAAGATTACATAATTTTCGCTATAGAATTAACGGTTGCTGTATATCTGTGGTCATTGCATATAAGTTGAAGAAGATCTAGCTTACTATAACATGTTGTTTGATTAATCTTTTGTAGACATTGTAAGAGTTTAATCTTTTATTAACTGGTTATTCGGTTTTGTAGAATTTACTTCCTGTTAAATGGATGGCATTGGAAAGTTTACTTCACGGACGTTTCACAACAGCCAGTGATGTGTAGGTTTATATGTTCATTCTATCATTCAAATATGTTTTAAATTTTTTTTGAGGTGATGTAAAAATAAGCCTAGTGGTCTCAGGACGTCGCTTCTTAACTTTCTTGTGTAAATATTTTTTCATCATTTCTGAGTTTAATGGTGTCCTCGAATTAACGCTCCATTTCTTAAAAAGTAGAAATATACCGCCAATGCTATATGCCACCAGCCAAAATTGCAGTCAGAAGAATATACAGCATGAGCTCCACCTTTGAATTTACTATAGGAGTAAATTCTTAAACACGTCCGAATTTATCATTATGGAAAATTTGCGGCACCTAACACTTACCCTAACCCCAAACCTAACACTCAGCCCTAACTCTTTTAACTTTTTAAATTTTTTTAACTTTTTTGAAAATCTAACTTTTTAAACTTTTTTTGCTTTTTAAAACTTTTTTAATACTTTTTTAAATTAATTTAAACTATTTTTTTGAAAATCTTGAAAAACACATTTATAGGCCTACAGTTTTTTAAAAATAGGAAAATCTGCGATTTAGGCCGTATTTTTGGACAAGTATTACAGCATGTTGAAAAACAAAAAGCGTCCCACTTATGTAAAACAATATCTAAAGAGAAAAGTTTCCACAAAAGTTATATCCAACTGGTGTTGCTATTGCAACAATGACGATCCAAAATGGCGGATATAATTTAACGCATGAACGACGTCGGTGATCTCCAAATTTTATTTCATAAAAAGATTGCTCTTAGTACACTAAAAAATGTTGACAAGTATTTTAAAAAATTCTGTTGAGCCAAATTTTTGGCTAACTACATTAATCAGTAGCTCATGATGCATGTGTATTCATTGATATAGATGGAGTTACGGCATTCTTCTTCATGAAATTGTGACTCTAGGTAAGATATACACTGTAGCAGAGAATACCGATGGTAACAAGCAGCTTTTGTACATGAATAATGAGTTCGTATTTTTTGCAATATATAATGTAAAGATTTGATTTGCATAGTTAACAAACACAGTTCTCAATCGATAATTTTTTAAAGTTACTGTAGCACTGTCTTATGGTAACGCATTTCCTTCGTTAACCGTGTTTCTGACTATTCCATACATTTAGGAGAAGAGCCATATAAAAATATTTCTCCATATAATATTGCCATTCACGTGGGATCTGGATGTCGAATGTCGCAGCCATCGCAATGTTCTGATGAACTGTAAGTTTCCCAGTCAAGAAGAATTATATCGTCTATGTTAATTTGCATTATATTTAACGTTATTACAAAAGTTCATACCATTTATATAGTGAGAATCAATTTTTTCATGTTGGTTTCGCAGGGTATGCCTAACTCCCAAGTCACCTGAACTAGATTAAAGGTGATCTACAGTCCGATCTGCGCATGTGCACAAATGAGCCCACTTTTTATGATACAAACAGTTTAACTATGTTTTGAGTTCTTGAAAAGCCTGATTGTTGTTTCTTGATCATTTATTATACTCTAGAAGCTTGAAAATATAAATAGTTGTCGAATAAAGCTCAATATTTTGGACACAAAAATGCAAACAAAAGCTTTGTTTACATACGGACTGTAGATCACCTTTAAGTAAAATAATCAAATAATATTTGAACAAATTGCATTCACGATCCAACGTTAACACATATACAGTCATGCGGTTTCATCAGCGTGCATATCTAACAAGTCTATCACACACCAACAACAACTTTTTGCTCAAAGGCGTTGTTTGCCTGAAGCATGGGACGTTAATACTTATCGTCATCCTTGGAATACGTGACTGTAAATTAGGGATACGTCAAACTTTGGCTGACTATTAGCGTTTTCTATTTGTTACTCATTTCATATTGTTCTACTTTGAACCTATTAGGTATGAAATAATGAGAAATTGTTGGAAAATTGAACCAAGCGAAAGACCCACATTTGAAGATTTGCACGAATCCCTTCATGGCATGTTAATGAGTGAGGAGGTATTGTTTATCCTATAGCCAATCATTCACTTCATATTACAGGTAAATTATGTGAAGCGTTCCTCTTTTGAGTTTCTAAATTGATTGCAAGTTTTCTCATTACCTTTGCAATTTAAAAAACTCCCTTGCAAATCCCTTGAGGAAATTTGCAATGTTGCTAAAACCGATTTAATTTTCCTCAGTTCTTGCTAGAAGTTCTTAACTTCCTGTTACAAGTTCCTAACTTCCTGTTCTGTTCTGCGCGTTGTAATTGGCTAACAAAAATAATCCACCAATGACAACGCTCAGAACAGAACAGGACAGGAAGTCAGGAAATTAAAACAGGAAGTTAGGAGAATTTAAAATGAAGTTTCTTTGCATTGGAATATTGCAACAGCCGATAGGAACATAGCCTGCTCACAGACGTTGTAGTTCTTACGCCAAGCAGCGAAATACTACCGTCTGCTTGCTTACCCGAGCTGCATATTCAATTCCCTTTGTTTTAGGAGCCAATCATCTGGCAGTGTTCAAAAAAGTTAGGGCCAATTGGAAGCCGCCTTATTGAGAGATTAGCTACTGGGGAAAGCCCTTGCACATGCATTGGAATATATTGTTTGGGTTGAAACTTGAATATATCGCGTGAATATATTTTAGAAACTATATATATAGCGTTGAACTTCACGATGTTTACGTAGAATAATATTGTGATCATCTTCTCGCATGTTCAGCAAACAATTGGTGTATATAAAGTGCTAAAGCAATGCAATAGACGAAATTTAAATTTTGTTAACAATGACAAACAATCAATCGGGAAACTCGAGTATATCAGGATATGTCCAAATATTGCTCTTGATACTTCCTATATGCCATGACTTCGACGAAAACTTCTAAAAGATTAAGCTCTCATTATCATGTAGAAACGTATAGCCAAGTTATAAGTTCTTTGAATGTTTGCATGGCGATAAAATATAATTGTTTTTGTTTGTGGAAACACCACGTAAAAAATAAATAATAATAAATAATAAATAATAAATAATAAATTTAAATGATTAATTTTAATAAATAATATATTTATTTTCAGTAATAAATTTACGTGGTGTTTCCACAAACAAAAACAAATATAGCCAAGTTAGAGTATAAACGTTTCGGAGTTTGAGCGAATTGGAAAATTCATCACGGCGCAATTTTAATACAAGTTTCTCGGGTTTGTGTTGTGTTTACAGTTTACATTCAGAAGTGGTTGCTCAAACAGCAAATTAGTTTACTCTGAAGCTAATATTTCGCTTTCTAAGCCACAGTATTATATAAAATTTTCTGTCTTCCGAGTTCTGTTGTCTTATAAAGATAAACCGTTAAAATTTCAGCGAAATATATTCGGCATTTGATGCTGTCTGACTAAGATTCCTACAGTAGCTATAAATATGCCAATCCTGTCCGCGTTTTAAATATACCCGAACATTTTTTAATATCCAAATCTGATCATTAATGGTGCATTTTATTACCTGGACAAGTATCAGTATCTTTAAATTCAATTTATGTGCAATTTTGACCAAAATTCAACCGACGCTGCTTTCAAAATATATATTTATATTTATTCCGCTCCAAAATCAACTGACGTCACTTTCCATAATTTGGAAGATAAATTCTGATTGGTCGACGTAGCGGAATTCAGTTTGGCGCTCGGGTAAGCAGACGGCATAGTATTTCGTCGCTTGGCGTAAGAACTACAACGTCTGTGAACAGGCTGATAGGAACATTGCAAATTCCCTAAAGGGATTTGCAAAGAGTTTTTCAAATTTGCAAAGTTAATGAGGAAAATTCCAAATGAGTCAGCAAATCAAAATAGGAACGCTCCACGTGGTTTACCTGTAAAACATCATGTAATATATATGAATTTGTTTTCTTGAAGTTTACAGATCGAGTCTCGGAAATCATCTCGTAAATAAATAAATAAATTAGTTTTATTATATGACGATGGCGTTATTTTCCATGCAAATAAAGTTAATGAGAACACGGGAAATCTGGGAGTGAATTACGCCCCAAAATGCCGTATTTTCCCGGCCTGAACGTTTTTTTTTTCTGGTTAGGATGAAGCAAAAATTCGACTTTTAGAGTGAAAAATGAACTTTTTAATAACGCTTTTTCAAATGTTATGAACAGTTGAACAGTTATTGAGAACAACACTATAAAAGAACACTCAGAGAACTATAGTTGCGAGAAATTTTGCGTAATTTTTTTTAAAATTAATGAAAACTTATGCATGGCAACTGTTATTCGTTGCTGTTCTACTACCCGGCTATTGTACATAATTTAAAATTAAATGAAACAACAAAAAATTGTTTTAATTCTGTCACCAAGCGGATGAGTATGAACATTTTTCTCCATTTATATTATTTATTTATTTATCTATTATAGTGGCTCAATAAAATTTTCAAAACTTTAGGTGTACAATAGTTTTGACATTTTAATAAACGTCGTATATTTTTAGGTTTTACACCGCAGATATCAGGATATTCATTTATTTTCATGTTTCTTATTTCAATTCACGTCAATTTTGGTGACACATGCATGCATAGTTCGTTAATATGGCAATACACGCGTATACGAAATTCATTCCAACATAGTCTATTGCTTTGTGTATAGTTGGAAAAAAAGCACGGTCACCCCGGCCCCAATTTTTTTTTCGGGGAATGTTTGACTTACAACATAGACTAACCATAAGGAAAAAATAATATAAAAAATTCTGTAATGCCATTTTTCTAAAAATCGCAAAAATGCCAGTTTCTCGATAAGATTTTTTTTGGCATCACAGAATTTTTTGTTTTTGATATATTGAAAGATTTTTGCAGTACAATGCTGTGTGCAAAATTTCAAAATAGATCACCGCACGAAATAATGAGATATAGCACACTGTTTTTTCAAAAATTGGCATTTCTAATGACGTCAGCAATTGACACGTACAATGGCGCGAGATGGCGTATATGAGTCCTCCCGTTAATATTCTCGGAGACATGATTGGTCACGTGGGTTTGGTCATATAGCATAACGTTTTGTTTTCGCGACTCTTGTGTGTATTAATGTAGCGAGCCACCTTATAGGCCGTGAGATGAGGGTCGAAAATATGCTTAGAAAACAGATTCCGTAGCACCCCTCGTGTAACTACTTAATTTTTACATGAATCTATAGATTATAACTTACTTAGTTAGAATCCACTTCCCCCCAAGCGAAATAGTTGCACAAATTGAAGTATAAGCTCTTCAAAGTTCACGCTTCCTCGTGTTTCGGAATCCATGAACCGCCATTGTTGTGTTGCAAATACGCATGCGCCTGAGCACAAAACACGTAATGCGCACGCGCAGATAAGAAAAACTGATCTCAACTGAGACTGGACAAGAACAAAATCATGAAATGTGCGAAAGCAGGGCTGAAGTAAAACAAGATGACATCGGAATATTTTAAAAATATATGATATTTTTATGTTCTGTGCATTTTAATGGTTTACAAACATTTTGAGCAATGTACCGTGTCGAGCCCTTGCCAGGAACACTTCCAAGCCAACATTACAATAATAACTTATTTAAAATATGATGTTATTTTATACTACAGCAATTGCATAACGTTTGCAAGCGAATCTGTTTTTCAGGCTTTAAATAATATCACAATCCTAAATATTCTAGAACATGCATACCGTAATTTCTCTATCCAATTTATTAGGGGAGAAGGGGGGAGGGGGGTTTAATTCTAATATATACAACTGTTTTGAACGTTTGATTCTCTTTATATATGCAACATCGGGTACTGTGATTTGATATCAGTAAAATATCATAATTATCTTTCAAATACAATACTTTCATGTTTCACGATTTTATACATTAATTAATTGGTTGCAGGAGAAAGGGGTGGGGAGTAGGGGTGGGGGGTGCTAAACAGAGAAATTACGATATACCATAAGGGAGTGGTCATTATTTATGGGGAGGGGGGAGTTGGGAAATGGGGAAAATAAGGATTGAAAACTTTTTGTCCCCCCCCCTCCAGACTGAAGGCAAACTTTGTGCCTCCCCCCTCATAAAAGTAGAAACTTCTGACCCCCCCCCAGTGTAGATTGAAAAATTAACAGCAATGAAACAGGTGTGCATTGCAGGTAAAGTTAAATATTAGGACAATCTGTTCAATCTAGCTCATGATGTTTTACCCTGGGGGTTAGCGCTAACCCTGGGTTAAAAGTTTAACCTGTTGTTTTAGTTTGTGTATTTCTGCACGTCTGTTTATTTCAAAACTTCAGACAAGTAAACTCCTATCCATCCAGACAAGATCTCTGAAGAAATATTTCCAAATTTATAGACAAGCTGTCAGGAAGTTTGCTTTGAATTTTAGGTTAACCTAGGGTTAAGCTAACCTAGCTTTGAACAAC